CACAGGGCAATGAGAGGATGACACATGGGGCTACTCATATTAGCCACTGGTAGATTGTCATGGACTACTAAGAGAGAGGTGTGATAGAGGGAGCACTGCTAGAAATTATGGCTTAAAATGAAGGGGGACAATGGATACAGACACTGGGAAGAGGGGCTCAGAGCCTAAAACCTAAATGCTAAACTGGTAATTGAAGATCCTTACATCTCCCTTTACCAGCTCATGATTGAACCCAGTGCCCTGACATCCCTTCACTCTCTGGGCCACAATCAAGCACCTAGGTTGCCTTGCAGGTCATCCCAATATAATGAATGCAATCCACATGGAGGTCTTAACAGCATTATAAGCCCCTGGGAAAAGCAGTGCACTGAGGTCCTGCCTACACAACCACTCACAGGAATAATACTTTGACTGCATCATTGTATTAAGCATTACTACTGTTGTCTCCATTTCTTGTTTACTCTTATTATTATTGTACTATAGGAGGCAACTATGGCTTAAGATACAGACTGTAGACTACTATAACATCACAAACAGTAATATTAAGTTAGACTATATGTTTCCAATATTTTCTAATTTTCTACTGGCTGTGTACTTAGACAATTGCTGTATATTTGTACTGTAAAATCCACTAAATAACTGAATTAAATAAAGCAGCAGACAGGACACACACATACACGCACACGCACTAAGCACCGGAAGCCTTCTTGGGAGCAAAATAGTTTAAGAAATGTGTTATTATTAATTACATAGACCGACATCATCTAGCTTTTCTTCTTTCCCCCTACCATCCTTCCGATGTCAAATGCTCCTTCTGGTATATATTCAGACACACCCACACAAACACGTATAAACTCATAGGCATATACACACACCAAGCAGCCCTCACTCGTTCCGCAAACATTGGGGCATTGAAGGCAGGTCACTTCAATCAGCATGGTACCTGCTCTCAGGACCTATCCTGCCGCCATGCTTCTATTCCTTCTGCTACTTGTCCTTGTCCTGGCATGTGCCTGTATGCCAAGCGGGCATGGAGGTGGTCGCTGCTGTGGGTGCCACCTCTTGAAGAGCACCCGCTGTCTACAGCCTAATTTGCCTGAAAGCAGGTCTGGCAACTTCCAAGTTGGGGGGATGGGAGGGACACATGGAATAACCCCCCTGCAGTGAGACATTACTTTGCACGGTATTATTGTGGTCCCCCTTGCAACATTACAGCATGCCCATGTGTTAAGACGACTCTGCCCCTCCACACTTTTCCACTATTTATTGTTGCAGATAGTTGAAAGTTAAGTAGAAAATTATTTAAGCAGAAGTTGAATGTGCTATTTCGATAGGCACACATTTTAGCAAGATGAGCTAGAAGAATAATAATCATCTTGCAGCTAAATGAAGTGACTGGCTGGCACTGAAAATATATCATAAAACTATTGTTATTAGCTAAATACAGATGGCTATGAAACCAGAGAATCATATATTTAAGAAAGAGATAGCTTTAATATCTGAGAAATGAAGCTGAGACCAAATGAAGTACTGTTGAGGAAGACACATTTCCAGTATCAGCCACATGATGGCACAACAACGTTAGGAGTAGAGATTAATGGTTGCAGAAGGATAAAGGATTTATATATTACTATCTTGTAGTTAAACAAAATTATTGCTATAGTTCCTGCAGCACACACTGCCATTTTAGCTAACTAGTTGATGGCAATGCCTTCTCTATAATACACAAACTGACAAATAGCTTTAACTCTCTCTCCCTTATTTGTTTCTGTCTTTTAAAATTTTGTCTTGTTTATCCATTTTCGACTCTCTTTTTGTGTTTTCTTTATTTCTTCCTCACTCTTTTTCATCTACCATTCTATAGGTCTCCCCTTCTTTTCTCTCATATTCTCCCTTTCCATCCTGATTTCTCTCTCGACTTTCTTCATCTCTGGCCTTATCACTCCCTTTTCCTCTCTTTAACTCCTATCTCATTTATTCTCCTCTCTTTTAACTCTAAATGCCCTTAGCTCTCACATCCATTTCCATTTCCTGTTCCTGTTAAATCACTCAACCTATTCCCCTATTCACTGTTCCGAACTTGCTGCAGATAATTAGGAAATGAGGGGAAGCACAGAGGGCCCATATTATATTCACTAGGTCAGGGGTTCTCAACGTTAGTCCTCAAGACCCCCTACCAGTCCAGGGTTTAGGGATTACCTGGGTGTGTCTCAGGTGTTTAGAAAAAGAAAAAAAAACACCTTAGAGTCTAAGGTGTTTTTTTCCCTTTTTCTAAACACCTGAGACACACCCAGGTAATCCCCAAATCCTGGACTGGTAGGGGGTCCTGAGGACTGGGTTGATAACCCCTGCACTAGGTGATCCACAGACCAGCCATTCATCATGGAAACAGGTATGCACACAATGCCAATCAGTCTGGTCAGGTCCGACACCCAAGACTGTTCCACCATATGTCTGGTAGTGACTATAGGGTAGAAAGTGATGTTGATGCAACATATAGTGCAAGTTTCCTCTCTTCCTTCTGCAATGGGAGTGGGAAAGATGGGATGCCAGGATGTACACCTTCTGATGACCCAACTTGTAGACAGTGGCTTTTTTCCAGGACTATACATTACTAGGCTTTTATGCATTTCTTATTCCCATTATGTACTTTGAAACTGACCCTCTGTTCTTCGTTGAGCAAGGACATGGACCCAAGAACTGTGCTAAGCTGTGTAGGTCTCTCCTGCTCCACAGAAGCCACCAATTTGTGATCGGCTGTCCTCTTCAGAACGTGGCAGGCCACCATATTAGGTAAGTATTCACAGGCCTAGTTGAGAAACTGCAGGTGGTAGTGCCAGGATTACCTGCGAAGGGATGGGGGCAGTGAACTCTGTGAAGGTGTCTACCTCTAATGAAATATAAGATGGATCGGCCACCTCCCTCTCCTCCTTGCTGTCTTGTAGGCAGTGAGGCTACCTCAGCAGAGAGCTGCCAAAAGTGATCAGAGTATTCTTCAAAGTGCTATATTAAAGAGCTCACCATATTGTGGAGTAGCAATAAGGAGAGTTGTTGTGAGAAATTCAGGCAAAGTCCAGTCAATTAGTTAAAAAAGTGTTTTTTCTCACAGAGCTCACATGTTGTGTGTCTTAATTGCACCCCCCCTGCCCTCCTCTTGGCTCTTATTTTTTCTGTTTTTCTAATGTTTTTTTAAAGGTGCATTAAAGATTAAATAGAGACACAATCTTTTTTATAATTAGCTTAACTATATTGGTAAAAAAATATATTTAATAATAAACCATTGAGATACTTCTAGTCTTAGTTTGACACAATATTTTAAATGCATTATAACGATAATGAAATAAAATATATTGTCAACATATTTAATTAGTTTCATTAATAATATTACAATGTTAAAGAAATAAAGTTGCATTACTTTGAATTTGTCCTTTAGAATACAACTTTCAGGAGCCACTCATTCTGGTCTTGCCAGCAGAGAATTATGGGATAAGTAGTTTTTCCCCAAACAGCAAAACTGATAACACAATGTTTCCCTGAATCTTAGGCATTATGCACCTCTCCTTCTCCTGGGCATGTGCATCATGATCACAATGTCAGAAAAGGTCTGTGTTTCTGTTCCAGGTTGTTCCAAGGCCGGGTGATTGGAGGGGTGTATAACATCAGTAACAAAGGCCCGTAATGGAACTGGTCCTAGTGACCCTGTTTTATTGTAGTGTCCTGTGGTCACACAAGCTGACCGTGAAGACCCTGCAGTCCTCCATTTATCCAAGACCACCAATACTGAAGAAAGTGACCTGTTAAGGTGAAGATCCAGTACTATGTGCCCAACTTTAAGAATTTCTGCTACAGCCGTGCCATCTTCCTACCACACCAATGCAGGGCATCCAGCGGCCAAACTCTGCAATGCATATCAGCCTACGCCTTTTTATTTCTTGTTAAGTAATAACTGTTACCTTGTCTAACTTGCTTCAGATGGGCAACCAGAATTTTCTTATTGCTTGTTGAGCCACTGAAACAATACTAGTTCCTAGATTGCTGTTCAGTAATACATGTTGGTCTGATGCCCATAAAAAATGAGGTATGGATCCAACTGGTAAGCTCCAGATTTAAATTGAAGAACCTGGGTGAACAGGATGCCAATAATCTATACGTAACAATACATGATCACATAACAGACACTAATGAAAGCAGGAGAAGGGAGCTTATACTGCATAGCTGCACCAATTGATAAGACAAAAATAAAATAAATGCAGCTCTCATTTCAAGTTGTGTCTTAATCGTTTATATACATCTAGGAAGTGTGTGTCGATGGGAACATATATAGGAAATACAGGATAATGAATTGCCCACTTCTCATAAGTAATGGGCCTGGAAACATATGTTAAGAGCCAGAAAGAAATATACATTTGTACGATTAAGCTGAGAAAGCTGGTTAAGAAACAACCAATCAATTGATTTAAACAGTAAAACAAACCTGCAAATGTGCAGTGATTGCTTTTCGAAACCTGATTACATTTAATCTTGTTTTGCAGTTGAGTACTGCCAAATACCATTTGTTTAGACTTTATATTTTTTATATAGTTGAATAAATTCCAAGTGAGAAAAACAAATTGAGGCTTTGCCAACAACATGTGAAAGAGGAATTTAACTAAAAGATACCCAGTTGCTGAGCAAGGACACAAAGCACACACAAGATTTATAGATACACTGGCACAGACCAACACCTTTGTTCCCTCCATGTTTGAGAAGATTTAAAAGAACACTCCAAACACATTATACATTTCAGCTCATTGAAATACTTTATGTGTGAAAAGCATGTCCTCTTTTTCTTTCTAATTTATAAAAAGTGCAGAAATGAAATTGGCACTTTTATAAATTAACCCTGTTACACCCCCTATGGCTGTCAATCAGACAACCAGTCATGTCACTTCCTGGTTGTACAGCTCAGTTGAGCTAAATTAAAGAGGCAGCAATTGCACGGAGGACCTGCCTTGCAAAGACTTCTCACTGAGCTGCATTGGGAAATCTGTGATTGGACAGCCACAGAAAATCTGGTCTGAGGTCGAGGAAAAAGATAGTAGATCTGCAGCTATTGCAAGAGAAGATTTCATATACCTCCTTCAGAAAAATACAAAACACATTATGTGCATTTTTTTTAGGGGGGTTATCTACTAAAATGTTAAAATTTTCAATATATGTGTATTCCTTTACCGTACCTGTAAATTATGTAATTCACATCGATATATCACAACCTGCCTCACTATGATGGCACATAACACTAGACCATAATTCCTGCAATGAAAGATTTCTGTATTGGTGAGAGAGGTCAAATTTCATGTATCTTGCATATGGTTTGCACTCCCTCCCAAAACATATTTAAGAATAATTGGAAAAAAATCTGAAATTGAAACACAATACTTTGCGGTTGTTGCTGTGTAGCTTTGTGATGATCTAATTCTAATACACAATGTATATCACAGTATGTTTTATTGTCCTTGTAAGCATTGTAATGTGTTTTAAAGCAATGTACATTACCGTGTGTTCTTTTGCTATTCAGCACTTTGCATCACTTGCACACATAAAACATTTTGAACTCCTATTCTAGAGGGATGCTATGGCAGGAGATGAGGACAGAGGGATTATGTGGACTGAAACTAGTCACTTGCAGAAATTACAGGAATAGAGTTAAAACAAAAAATTAAAAAAAAGATGATTATGGGACACTATAGTCACCAAAACAACTACAGCTTATTGAATTTGTTCTGGTGAGTAGATTCATTACCTGCAGGCTTTTTGCTGTAAACACTGTCTTTTCAGAGAAAATGCAGTGTTTACATTACAGCCTAGTGATAACTACGCTGGCCACTCCTCAGATGGCTGCTAGCGGTACTTCATATGGCAGTGCTGCACAGCGTGACAGGCATTCATTGTATCCACCCTCTGCATGGAGACACTGAACATTCCTCATAGAGATGCATTGATTCAGTTGATTTCTATGGGGAGATGCTAATTGGCCAGTGCTGTGTTTTGCTTGTGCTGGCTCTGTCCCTGATCTGCATCCTTGAGAGCCTCAGCCAATCCTACGGAAAAGCATTGTGATTGGCTCACATCATCACTTCTGATGATGTCAATGAAGCAGGTAGATCAGGGGCAAAGGCAGCAGCTGCAGACTTGACTACAATTAAGACTTTACTATATTTACAGGTGCAAAAGGGGCTAGATGGTGGTTTTAACACTATAGGGTCAGGAATACATGTTTGAGTTCCCTATAGTGTTCATTTAACATAGATAAAGAAAGCATCACTTAACAATGCTAACATAAGACAAAAAAGTGAATGCAAACAAAATATACATTCTAAACAACAAGGGACAAAAATAAATGCATTCTAATATTAGAATCTATATATAATATAGTAGTCATGACATTAAAATTAGGTAAATAAATAAAGCAAGTGCGCAGTTATGTCATATAGGTAATAAGTAACATTATATTTACACTCATCTACAACATTACATGAAATTTACCAATAAACATAAATTAAAAGTCTGCTGTAAGCCCCAAAACAACTTTACTTTAATAAAGTATAGTATAGTGTATATCCCCTACAGTCTCACTGCTCAATTATCTGCCATTTAGGAGTTAAATTACTTGTGTTTCTGTTTATGCAGCCCTAGTCACACCTACCTTGACTATGACTCACACAGCTTTTTTTTTTTTTTTTCAATCAGACCTTATAGCTTACTGTGTTTACTTTAGAAGTTACAATGTCACGCACTCTTAACTGAAGTGAGGCTATTGCTGCCTTTAGCAGACTTTTAACAGAGCAGGAGATAAGACATTTCAAATTTCACTCTGCAGTAAGGTAAACTAAAAAATGTAGACTCTTTAACAGAAAGTGTGTAGGGAGGCTTTGTGAATCTCAGTCAGGGGAAGTGTTTGCTAGGAATGCCCAGAGTTGTTCTGCACGTCCTAATTTTGTTAATGAAAAAAGTTTCAGGAAAACTAATCAGAAAAATGAAAAGGGTGCAAAAATGAGCCAATCAATGAACTGCACAATATATACATCATATATTTTGCAGTACACTGATAGCTGCATTTAACTGCCATTTGGTTCACAAATCAAGTAGAGAAGTCACAAGAAGGATGAGCAGTAATACATCTATATTTATATAATTATTAAAAATATAACAATATTTGTTAAATATAGGTTTTCCCTCTTGGATACTTTTAACTTTATGTGTGAATAAAATCAATATTTCGTGGTGGATCGGAAGTCGGTATTGTGCACGATAACCCGATCGGCTCAAATGCAGACAAACAAATCTCCAAGTCTAGTAAAAATAATTGAAAGGGATCTATAATGGAGGCAACCAATTGCAGGATAAAGAGAAGTGGAATTCTATATTTAATTTTATTTTTCACACCTCTGCAATAAATGTTAAATATTTGAGATACGTAAACGGGGAAGTGACAGTTCCATTTACCAATGTGATAGTTCAGTTGGTTAATTCATTGCTTTTAACACTTTATAAAAACCTCAGCATTACAGGGTCAATACAATCTTTTTAACCTTTTCAATCTTTTCTTTTTTTTATTCTTCGGAGATTGATAAAACAAGAACTATTAAGTCGGGTAATAGCAACATCTATTAATCGGCTACCATTAAAATTCAAGAACATGCAAAAGCTCTCTGAGTCCCCATGGGAAGTAAAGCACTTTACATAAAAACCGATAATTATTTTTATTTGTTCAATCTTTCTCTTGACTCGAGTGGGTTAAGCATTACATAATCAGGTAGAGCCATCCATACCAAATGTTCATTATAGGGTCATGTAGTTTCCTAATTGCATTACAACGTAACAAGTTATTTTCCAGAGAATTGCCTTTACTGATTTAAATCTTGAAAAGACAGCAGCCAAGGCAAATCAGAGCGCAATCCAATAACATGGAGATGGCAGGGGACTGCAAAACATTGCACGGCAGTAAATGTAAGCTATTTTTATGGAGCAAACAGAGGCTAAGTATCTCACGTGACCAGCACCAATGCTCTTTATTCACTGGGACGAAGGCCAGCTCCTTGTTAAGTGGGATCTTTTGCTCTCTTGTAGTTTACTTTACATCTTTAGGATTACAGTCGATTTTTTATTTTTTTATTTCCTTATTGTCCTATTTTTGCCTACATAACAGCTGCGTTGCAAACACTGTGTCAGTCTGTAGAATTCTTTCCCCAACTACAAAAACAATTACTTCATTTAAAAGAGCACAGAGTGGACCTAGTCACCTGATTCTCTGAATGTCAGAGGGAAAACATCACTGCCCATCCCTCTTTCGTTCAAGGTAATAACGCCAGGTTTAGGAATAAGAAGGGATCCATACAAAGAAATATTAAGATACCACAGGGCCCTGGACAGCTTACAAGTTTGGTGCCCCTCTTAATTCTTCACATAGGAATGGTGAATGAGGTCCAGCAAAGTCTTGTCTAACCGATGGGTTGTAGGCAGTCGCCTATGGTCATCTTATGGTTAATTCTGCTCTGAATCCATAAGTAGGGTTGACATATCCACCATATTTTCCCTGAAAAATAACAGATAACTCACTTTTTCAAGAAGGCATAGTTGATATTTTAGTTGATATTTTGGACTAATTCTGCATCCTGTGAGATATTAGGGGACTGCTCACAAGGAAGACAGTTAATGGTCCAACCTATGATCAGAGGTGAGAAGTTTAAATCTTCGTGCCAATACTATAATGATATATGTTACTTTTAAAAAGCCCATGCTATATTGACCTAAAGAAAGGTCAATG